AAAAAAAAAAAAAAAAAAAAAAAAAAAAAAAGGAATGCATCCCTCTGTATTATCGCCTGCGTTTTTGTGCTCGCTTTTCTTTTTTATTTGAGTGTTTTTGTGGGGTTGGCCAGTGATAATAACGTATGAATAAAGTACTGTGTTCACTAAAATTGAAATCTTTTGGAAACTCAGTGGGTTGACTCAGTATGCACTCAGTGGAAAAAAAAAGTAAAAATATTTTCAACCCGACGTGAAAAATGATTTTTAACCTTTTCTAGTTAAAAAATTTCAAAACATGTCTTTTTTTACAGCCAACTTTTCACAAAATCAGGTTGGATGTAACATTTTCGTGGTCAGTAATAAATAAGGTCGCTTTCGCACATATTACTATCGGCCTATAATTTAAGAAAATAAATATGTGAGTATAATTAAATTGTATTTATAATAAACTAGTACAACACGTGTGTATTATACGAGTGTTTGCTAAAAAATTATTCTTAAATTTTATAATTAATGAGAAAACTATATTAAATTTTGTTGGTATGGCTCATATATTGACAAAAAAAGGAGGCAGGCTAATGCCTACGAGCGTAACGGAGCGAAGGTAGCGAGGGAAGCGGAGCGACCGAGCGAAGTGAGCGGAGTGGAGCGAGCCCCCGCGGTACGGTACGGGGTATTTAAGTAAATTAATACCTTGTAAAGTTATAGTATAAATACATGGTGTATTGATGTATTTAAGACTGTTGAGAGACGAACCACGTAAATTTTGTGTTGTTTATTTTTTCTCGTTTTTTTTAATTCGTATGCCACCAAGTCATCTTCTCTCAACAAATTTAGTTTACTTTTTTACAAAAAAAAAAAATATATTACTATATATTTTAGAATTATATGTGTTACTTATGATTTACATGTGTTATATTATATTAGTGTTTATAACTTTTATCATATAACTACTTGAAATATAAATATATTAGTTGATAAATAATTTTATTTTTCTAATTAATATTATAAATAATGTTATTATTGTTATAAAGATAAATATAAATTATTTTTTTTATACATACAATATGGATGTTAAATCGAAGCTCATCAAAAGAAGATTAATTTCATATATTACATATGTAAAACTGATAAAAAATATAAAAGTTATTAACTTTTAAAATATATATACAATTCAATAGTTATAATAAGGAATGATATTAAAATGCAATTAATACATTTAACATGACCATAAATAATCAACATATTTATAGTAATTCGAACCTAATTATTTTTTGTTTGGAATTAAATTAAAATTTACCCAAACTAATAATGAAGCATATAATTTTGCCACATAAGATTCCGAAGCACCAGAAGCAGTCACGTAGGCTCAGCGCATTCTGGATTAATATATAGGGGGAGGGGGATGTGCTGCATCATAATTGTATTTAGTGTCGTCTATCATCTGTCCCAAGCTGAGGAGCATAATTTAGAAATTTATTTTTTTGAAAAATAATAAAATATAAAAATATCATCAGATAATAAATAAAGGGAACAACTACAATCTCGTTGACGGAATGGTTCCGTCAGTATTTGTTACCATAGATTATGTACACAAAATAATCTACATGTGTATCTAATGGTGAAAACACTGGTTGAATCATCCCGTAACGGGACATTAGCATTTTCCAACAACAATAGTAGTGGAACTAATATTTTTTTCAACTCCTAAATTATATTTTGTATGTGGACTCTTTATTTTTATTTTTTTTGGTACAAAGAAGGAGGCTACGCCACGCCTAGAGTATAACCAAACGGCGATGAGACACGCCCACCCTATCGTGGAGTAATCATATGCTTGCCCCCGGCGGAGGCCGCTCCAGTCTATGAACCCCACCCGGACCCGTGGCCGCCAATGATGCTAAATAATATACTATAAAGTTCGCTTCGCGATAACCATGAATGATCTCGACCAACCAATGGCGAACCATAATTAGCTCCTGAATTCCCCTAACTAACCCGCTATGAGGCCCGGTGTAATCGTCCATCCGAACTATCTCGATGATACTCTTGTTATCGACCTCGGCTTGCAACTTACGATCCCCAACATCTAAAGCCAGTGACAAACCTTGAAAAAGACCTCATAGCTCTGCTCCAATAATGGAACAAAACTTTATATTCATCATAAATACGTACCCAGTTCCCATGATGATCCCGCATTACCCCACCGGCGCTCGCCATATCTGTCACCGGATCAAAGCTCCCATATGTATTAACTTTCACTACTGTCGCCGCTGGGCCTTCCCAGCAAATCCAACGCGACTCGCGGATCCCACACATCCCCACACGACGACATCCTATCAAAGCACGGCGCCCCATTGATGTAGGGAAGCGTACGAGTGGGACGATATTAATGAGATCACAATCTCAAGAACAATAAAATACGATATCAATTTTTATTTCATTCTCAACTGAATAAAATAATAGAAGATGAGTCTCATAACCCTATTCCTAACTTGTCCAACAAGACAAGATCTTTATTAATATTAAATTTATAACTTATTAAACAAAATACCTATAAAATAATAATAATAATAATAATAATAATAATAATAATGATAATAATAATCTTAATTATTATTCTACACCATTCTCCCTCAGTTCGGAAGGCTTCGCCCTTGAAGCCGATGCGCACCCGTGGCCGACGTGTGGTGTCGAACCCATGGTAGGAAACCCCCGTCCTTTTCCTTGGTCGAACACGAAGGTTGAATGTCGCACCTCCATGGTATCACCCCCTTGAAATTCATGGAAAGGCATATATGCAGCAGCCACACACAAAATTTTGAAGTCGCCGTGTGGACCAAAAAATAGCATTTGTTTGCAAGGTCGCAACAAATTACCATGGGAAAAAATCTTGGGCCTGCGCAATAGAATAACTACCAATCGAACACCAAATTCTTCCAACAACTGAATTTCGATACCCGAAACATGATTGAATTCCTCCGGGCTTGGAGGCTCCTCATCAAAAATCGGCGGACCGTCGTAGAGACTGTCCAATTCACAGGTAAGACGCTTTTTCACCTCCTCGGGTTCTTCATCAAACATCGGTGGACCATCGTACAATGGCCCGTCAACTTGCTCTTCGTTGAATTCGGGGATTTCAACGCGAAACGGGCCCTCCCATTGACCATATTCGCGATCAAGTCCCCAATCGTGTCGGGCACGATATCTGCCAGCGAAGGCTGCCTCCTCGCGCCAGCCCCTATCGCTGCGTTGATTGTCGCCGTCCACGAAGACTGGGCTCCGTCGCCGCATGTCACGGTCGTCGTATGCAGCGAAGGGGTCAGCATCGACGTGCGGAGGTTGCCACTCACCGAAGGGAGTCACCTTCGAGATGGTATCCTCGTTGTCTTCGTCGCCGGACTGTGGTTGTGGAGATCTCTGGCGGGGCGCCCCGCTTGGACCACGGCATCCACGTCCTCCGTGAACTCCCCCGCAAATGCCCCGGTTGCCGGCGTCACGGTTCGTCTGCAAATCCTCAACCACGTTGTTGATCGTAAGACGCACTTCTTTGATCCCGTCAAAAGATCCTTAACCCGACGATCCAATTGATTGATCTGGCGGCCGAAGCCCGTGGCTTGTCAACCCGGATAAGCCCGTGGCTTGTCAACTCGGATAAGCCCGTGGCTTGTCAACCCGGATACTCAATGGTGGCATTACGCCCGTCGATGTCGTCCTTCCGCGGCAGCATCTTGAATCGTGCTGACTTCTGATATCAACTGATGTAGGGAAGCGTACGAGTGGGACGATATTAATGAGATCGCAATCTCAAGAACACCAAAATACGATATCAATTTTTATATGAAATAAGAAATATGTTCTTGCGTATTTTCAAGAGAGAGTATCTCTTTTATCTTTCCCACTCGTACGCTTTCCCTACATCAGTTGGTATCAGCAGTCAATACGATCGCGACGCCGCCGAGACGACAAGATGCCGCAAACAAACAACGTGATGCAACCTTCAACGATCGGTTTCAACAGATTGACTATCTATTTCATGAGTTGCGTTTCACGGATTGGTTTGTCGATCTTTTGACGGGGATCGAGAATTTGCATTTGACGCTTAACAACATGGTTGTTTCAGAATTGCAAACGAACTGCGATGGGACTGTGGGTCGTGGCTTTCGCGGGGGAGACAGAGGCGGTTGTGGGGAACGCAACCATGTTGGGGCGCCCCGACAGCGATCTCTGCCACCTCTGAACGACATCGTGGACGGCGATCAACACGACGACAGAGGTAGACGCGAGGAGGCTGCCTTCGTCGGTCGTGCCCGATGCGATTGGAGACTTGATCATGAATATGGTAAATGAGAGGTCCCGTTTCGCATGAACATTCCTGATTTGGATAGAGAACAACATGACGGACCATTGTACGATGGTCCGCCGATTTTCGATGAGGAGCCTCCGAGGCCAGAGGATGAAG